ACCGTCCTGGAAACATTACGAGGCTGTTCTACTCTATCTATTCTATTTTGTTGTTATTAAGTGCTGTTAAGTTTAATCCAACTCATAGTGACGCTGTATAGGTTTCCAAGGAGTGACTGGGGAGTTTGAATCACCAAACTTGTTGTTCAAGCCGACTTGTGGTCCAGTGATTTATCACACAGTGCCACACCAGAACTCCATAGGATCCCTCTAAAGTGGAATCAGATAGATTCCTTTGCTAAATTGGAATCAGATAGATTCCAATTTAGCAAAGGTTCTCCTATTTATTTTCTCCTCAACTGAATCATTTTGATTTGCGTATACTCACTAGATGGTTAATTTAAAAACAAAATCAATGAAAACACTAACATTTTGCCTGCATTCCAACTCTCCTTAATAAGAAAATGTATCAAAAGTATTATATAGTCTTCATTCCTGTACATCCTCACATTTTGCTGTCTCCAATGAACCCATCTTCTACTCCTACATGTTGTCACTTTGTTCTTGTTAAGGTCACCAATTATATCTATATTGCCAATTGCAATGGTTACTTGGCTATATCAGTTTTCTTTTCTCAGCAGTATTTGGCATAGCTGATCTCTCCTTCTTTGCCATATGCCATCATCTCTGATTTCCATTTTCTTTTGATTTTTCTTATCTTCCAAGGGATTCCTCATTTTCTTCTGCTAGGTTTTTTTTTTTTTGTCTTTTTTCTTAATCTCTAAAGATCAGAACATATTAGGGGTCAGTTCTGGGCCTACTTCTTTATTAATAATCTTTATTTTTTATGTAATATAATTTATATTTTGATGACTTCCAAATGTCATCAAATATCTCTGGTTGCTATTCTTAGTTACAGATTTATATATTGAATTATCTATTTGATATTTTAACTTGAATATTTCATATGTCTGTAAAATATAATGTGTAAAACATACAGTTTTTAGTTTATATTCCCCCATCACTCAATTGGAGTCCTGGTGTGGCTGTGCAGGTTAATGCACTGGACTGCAAGGTCAGTTAAGCCTCAAGGCAGGCGGTTCAAACCCACCAGTTGTTCCTCCGAAAACCTATATAAGGTCACTATGATTTGGAGCTGACCCAATGGCACTTAACAACAATATCACTCAATTAACAGTTCTTCTTTCAATCTATAGTAGTAGTATGCTCCCACGTATTAAAACAAAAACAATCTAAAAGTTTACTTTTGGTTTTCTCATCTTATAATTTATTGTGGTAAATTAGTGCCACAACGCAAAATGCAGCAAATATTTTCTACTTCAGCAATCCTCAATTTGGAGATTTTTGAATGATTTTTTTATTCCTTAACATCTCTCATGCCTGCTAACCAGTCAGCAAAACCTGTCAACTTTACCGCCACAATTGTTGTTGTTGTTAAGTGCCGTTGAGTCGGTTCTGACTCATAGCAACCCTGGACAGGGTTTCCGAGGCTATAAATCTTTACGGGAGCAGAAAGCCTCATCTTTCTCCCACAGAGCAACTGGTATTTTCGAACTGCAGACCTTGTGGTTCACAGCCCGATTCATAACCACTACGCTACCAAAGCTCCTTTTACCTCCACAATATGTGGAATTAATTCCATATAAATGGAAAAAAGATTGAAGTTGTTAAAGACTTTAGTTTGCTTGGATCAACAATTAACATGCATGGAAGCAGCAGTGAATAAAGCAAACGACGTATTGTATTAGGTAAATCTACTGCACAAGACCTCTTTAAAGTGTTCCCGAGCAAAGATGTTAGTTTGAGGATTAAAACACGCCTGACCCAAGTCACAGTAGTTTCAATAACCTCATATGCATGTGAAATTTGGTCAGTTATTAAGGAAGACAGTTGAAGAATTTGAGTTCTGCTGTTGGAGTATTAAAAGTAACATGAGCTTCCAAAAGAACAAACAAATCTGTTTGGAAGAAGTACACCCAGAATGCTGCTTGAAAACCCTGGTTTTAACTCTGCCCTATAGAGTCTCTATGAGTTAGAATTGGCTTGATGGTAGTGGTTTGGGTTGGTTAGCCTAAACTAATAAAGACTAGGAAGAAAGGCCTGGCAATCTACTTTTGAAAATCAGTCACTGTTAACCTTATGGACTACAACTAATCATTTTGAGTTAAGTTAACATGAGTTGGTGGAGTTGTGGTGCTCACAACAGCAATATATTTGTAATATAAATGGCTGGCCAAGTTTCTAGGGCCTACAATATAACATGGAACTTCCAAGATTTCAAGTAGTCATTGGGATTTGTTTGTTTATTTCATTGTTGCCAATGCCCAGAAATCCATACACACTGGGACTATGCTTGGATGGGAACTGAGCAAGTACTCTTTCAGGCAATCCTAAAAAGAATGTAAGGTTGTTCATTTAATTTTCTATTGTTTCTTTAATTTATGAGACACTCAGGAAATCTTTAATTTGTCAAAGCAAACAATGTTTAACTTTTGCACCATCAAATCTCAGAGAAGAAAAATTAACATAATCAACTAGAGTAAATACAATTTTTATTTTAAATACATTTATTGATTATGATATTTAATCTCTCTTTATTTATAAATATTTGGTTTTCTGCACACAATGCTCATTATTAACCTGCACTGGTTAGTAGAAGAACTCATCACCCAAAGTTTTCTTTGCTACAACACAAATGATGTGCTTTTGATGGAATGGTCACAACTAGAGATTTCATTGGTGATTTACATATGTACGATTAAAGCCATATTCCTCCAGGTGCAGAGATGGTTTGTACTGAATCAATATTTCCTTCGATAGTTTAGGGTTTTTATGTGGAGGTTTTCCTTCTTTTTCTTTGTGAATGCCTCCCCCACCCCCATCTTCCCTCCTATCGCTAGTAAACATCAAAGAATGTTTCTTTTAGTATGAAAAACCTTTCTTGAATTTTTACAATAGTGGTCTCATATGACGTTTGTCTTTTTGTGATTGACTAACTGCATTCAGTATAACTAATGTCTTTCAGGTTCATCCATGTTATGAAGTGTTTCACAGACTCAATATTCTTTCATGCAGCATGGTATTCCACTGTGTGGATGCACCAACCTTGGTTTACGCATTCTTCCATTAACTGACAGTTGCATCTTGAAAGCTACCAGTGCATTCCTAGTTTTCTAAATCAAACTTGCACATTGTCTTTTTGTGGATAAATGTCTTTTAATATGCCATAAGTAGTTCTATTTAGGCTCTTTCTTTTGCCAACCTTATTTTATAGGAATTTACTGCATACACTCTTCTTTCTCACATCTATACAGTGTCCTTCTTTCATTAATCTATGAATCTAAAATAATCTTCCTACTCTCTATAACAACAATTTATTTTAATGATAATTTATGCCTTCATTGTGTCATGTTAATAATTGATAATATTGACAGTAATTTCTGCCACATTCATAGGGTTCCACATTATTTGATTAAAAATTGTCATTCTATTGAGTCTTTTCCAAAGATGGCGTTTAGTTGGATTGTCTGACAAGAAGAATCTTACTAGGGTCACAAGAATAAGCCAGCTGCTATTCACAGGAATGCAAATAACTGCAAGATACTATTACAGTTGTCCTGAAATCACCATGCAACTTTGCATCTGGAGGACTTACTTAGAATTAAGCATGAAAATCCACTAGTTGTCTCTCTGTTTGAAGAAGAATGTGGCATCAGGATTGGAGGAAGATTCACTAACAACCTGTGATATGCAGATAACACAATCTTGCTTGCTAGAAGTAAAGAGGACTTGAAGTACTTACTAATGAAGATCAAAGACTATACAGCTTTTGGTATGGACTGTACCTCAGAGTAAAGAAAACAAAAGTCCTCACAGTTGGACCAATAAATAACATCTTTATAAACACTGAAGTGTGCACCACAAGCTTGGCTATTCAAACTTACCAGCTGGTCCTCAGAAATCCTATACACGGTTGCTGTGAGTTGGGACCAATTAACAACAGCAACAAATGAAGAAAAGATTTAAGTTGTCTAATATTTCATTTTACTTAAATCCACAATCAACACTCATGGAAGCAGCAGTCAAGAGATCAAACGATGTATTGCACTAAGCAAATTTGTTGTAAAAGATTTCTTTAAAGTGTTAAAGAGCAAAGTTGTCTCTATGAGGACTAAAGACCATCTGATGCTAGCCATGGTAGAGTCAGTGGCCTCATATGACTGCAAAAGCTAATTGATGCATTTAAATTATGGTTTTGGAGAAGAGTCTTGAAAGTACCATCGACTGCCAGAAAAACAATCAATCTGTTTTGGAAAAATAACAGCTGGATAGCTTCTTGGATGCAAGGATGGAGAAACTTTGTCTCTTACATTTTGGTCATTTTGTTAGGAAGGACCACTCTCTAGAGAAGGATATTATGCTTGGTAAAGTAAAGGGTTAACGAAAAAGAGGATGAGATGGATTGACACAGTGACAGCAACAGTGGGCTCACATATGACAATTGTGAGTGTGGCACAGGACCAGGCAGTGTTTCATTCTGTCGTGCATAAGATTGTTATGAGTTGAAACTGATTAGATGGCACCTAATAACAAGAAGTACGAAAATGCTCTCACATCACAGATTGTATTGGGATAGTAACTTCTATTTATTTTGAAGTATTTTAATAAAACAACAAAGCAAACTCTGAAAAGACAGAAATAAAGGAAAACGAAAGATATAGATAGATACACACACACAAAGAAAGTCAATGTCATCTCTACATATTTCTTAATTTATAAGTTAATTCTAAAATGAACTAAACATGAAATATGAAACAAATATTAATGCAAAATCCCAAGAAAATTAAGACCCATCTTGTCTTCCTTGGTTCCAAAATACAGTCGTCTTTCTTTAGATCTGTATATGTGACAGACTTTTCTTCTTTTTAAGATATACTTTACTTTTCCCATCACTTTTCAAGATGCTTGTCTTAATCTGTTGTTCCTCAGAATTAGGATAAACGAATGGCTTGAGGGCTAGACTAGAGCTATCAGCTTACCCCAGGTCACAGCTAATTCTGTCTCTGGCATAAAGTAGCTGGAGGTGGCTACAAGAAAGGCCAAATAGTAGGCTATGAAGAGGAGGAGAAAGGAGATGATGGCTTTCATGGCTCCCACATGAGCAACCGTGCTGGGGTTTCTGCACACTGTTGCATTTAGCTGCATCTGCCTTGTGTGTTTCCATAGGGAGAGGATCAAGAGGAGAAATGAGATCAAGGACATAGAAAAGGGAGTAAGGTTATTAGCTAGAGAAGCATCTTGGTGGAAGCATATTGAGCTTTACTTACTCTGCATCTCAACATTGAGTTTGTTTTCCACTTTGCTTTGACGCAAAGTCTGAAATCATCATTCAAATTCTCAGTAACTGGGAGGCTCACACACAAAGGGAAGCACAAGCATCCCAGCAGGATCCAGAGAATAATCCTGTCAATTCTCCACTTTATCCAAAGGAATAAGGGATGGAAAAAGTAGCTACATAGAAGAAATAAAAACCACTTAGGCAGGTGGCAAACCAGACACTTAAATGGTTGTTTAATGTCCAGAAGAAGTCAATGATTTTCATTTGTTTGCCAGAGGTGTAGACATCTGGATACAGCACCAATATAAAGCAATCTCATAGTATTATGCATAATAAACAAATTCTGGAAATGGCCAGACTTATGAGGATTAAATCAATGGAGACAATCTTCCTGTTCTTGATCCAGTCCATGCAGTTTACCAAAGCAATGAATGTATTCCCTAGTATCCCTATTGAAAACTCTCCAGCTGCTATGAGCATTAATATGCTCTCCACTCTAACTGGCATGTTTTGATAGACAAATATCCTATTTGTTTCTTGTTGACCTGATGAAGTATGATATTTACACTTGCTTCTTAGATTTTGCTGTTATTTTCTTTACCGTTTTTCTTGTGGTCTATCTTGTGATGGAGACTGGAACAATAAATGAAGACTGTTGCTACTGTCATTAAATCCTGGTTAATCTTTACAAACCACATGCTTGGTGATCCCTGCCAGGCCTGGGTACTGAATTTTCTTTACCTTCTCAGCAGGTTGTACTTTCCATACATGGTTAAATTTAGGCTGAGCTACTGTTTGCTAAGATGCAAATGGAGCTCATTTCCTTTCATGGCTATGTACTACTCTTCTAAAGCTAAATTTTATAAATTTCAGATTCATTCATCTGTGATACATACTAGTAACCTTAAAAGTGTTGCCAGATTTAGCAGATACAAACAGTATACCCAGTAAAATTTAAATTGCAGATAAACAATCAATAATGCTTCACACCTCTAGTTGCATGGGATTAATACTTCTGGGAAGTTCTGAAACTCAAATTAACCAGTGTCCCATATTTTATCTGATAAATTTGCACCTCAAGCATCTCTTGTGAATATAAAATAAGTAATTTTTTTAATTTGGTGAGGAACCTTCATTCTGTTGATAAGCAGAATTATTAGTAAAGGATCTGAAATTTGAGCCCACATCCAGGAATTTAAAAGGTACACAAGAAATACAGATAATTTGGTTCCAAAAGAAGTCGATTAGCTCATTTATCTTGTTTGTTCAGATAAGCAATTGTTTGCCATAAGGTAGGTCTCTTAAAACAACGCATTTTCTTAAAAGTCAAAGGACAGTAAATGATCACTTAGTTTGTAAAGCTATGTATAATAAGGTGAAGGGGTCATGATAACAACCACAAAAATAAGAGAATATCAACTATTTTTAGATTTTTCCTGTTCTTTTAAGATCTTCTCAAGGGTAATTGTATGTACGAAAGAAAGAGAAGTTCTGTTTCTTTTTACTCCCCATCCTTTGACCTTATCAAAATATATCTGAGTACCTTGGCTCTTAAACATTCTGTCCTGTTAGGCAGGAGTCTGATTAAATTGATCTCATCTTTTATTGTTTTGAAATTCATTGTTGTTGTTAGGTGGTGTGGAGTCAGTTCTGAGCCACAGTGATTCTATATACAACAGAACAAAACACCACCCGGTCGGGCGCCAACCTCCCAACTGCTGCTACGCTTGAACCCACTGCTGTTGCCACTGTGCCAATCCATCTCACTGGGGCTCTCCCTCTTGTTTGCTGTCGCTCCACTTCATCAAGCATAATGTCCTTCTCCAGGGATTGATCTTTCCTGATAATGTGTCCGAAGTATGAGAGATGAAGTCTGGCCATCCTGGCTTCTAAGGAGCACTGTGGTTGTAATTCTTCCAACACAGATTTGTTCTTCTCGCATTCTATGGTACTTTTAATATTCTTTTCCAACACATGAGTCAAAGGCATCAGTTCTTCTATGGTCTGTCTTATTCATTGTCTAACTTTTACACGCATATGAGACTATTGAAAATACCATTGCTTGGGTCAGGTGTACTTTAGTCCTCAAATGGATATCTTGGCTCTTGAACACTTTAAACAAATAGCTTTGAAGATCTAGCTTTGTTTTGAAATAGCTTCTCTAATTTAGAGTTACTGAGAAACACGATGCTACATAATATTTCCATAGAGTCATTCCAGGGAACTCCTACCTTCCTATGGACACACGCATTCTCTCATCCTTCCTTTAAAAACAAATTTTCACTCCTGCACTGACTTTTGGACATATTACCTTTTAATGTAACCATTACACAGTTGACTGCTATCCTCTGATTTGGGCAGTAATTCCTGACCTAGTGACACTATTAGAACATACATAGCATGTTCACAGCTACTATAATATCTTCCCTAAAATATATTTTAGACTAAACATTTGTTTTATTGCAAATAAGTGTGGATTTGATACTTTGTCAGTGATGTATAACATGGGCACTCTAGGAATGCTGTGGTGGTGGTTATATGCCGTGGTTCTGACTCATAGCCAGCCTGTATAGGGTTCTGAGACTGTAATTCTTTAAGGGAGCAGAAAGCCTCATCTTTCTCCCATGGAGTGACTAGTAGATTCAAACTGCTGACCTTGAGATTAGCAGCCCAATTCGTAACCACTACACTACCAGAGATCCTATAGTTAAGAAAATAAAACTTACAGGAGAGCATTTTGTCATAAGCAGGCTGCTTTTAACTCCATTCATTGTGGTCACTAGAGATCATTGATAGAGTGAAACAAAAAACAAACATGGAAGAAAGGACTTCAGGCTAATAGGAGGAAATCTTCCCAGAGCACTTATCTCATAAAACATTATTTTATCTAAAACTGCAAGAAGAATATAAACTTCATTCCAGCATAGAATTTACAGGTTAAGCACTGTAGGATAAGCAATGGACTGATAATCACAAGGAGGTCATTCGAACCCACCGGCTGTTCTTGGAGACCCTATGCAGGGTCGCTATGAGTCAACCGAGTCGATGGCACACAATGATTAACAACCACATTTGTAGAATATATTGATACAGACTTTCAAATGTCCTTCACTGCACAGAGACACATACAAAACTCAAGAATTAGAAAAGTTGTGGTTCTGATCTTTCAGAAGCAGATCACCAAGACTGTATTTGAAATATTTCTGGGTGGATTGGAACCGCCAGGTTTTTTTGCAAATAGTTGAGCTCTTAATACTGTGCATTGCCTAGCAACTCCATTTATGGGCTTCATTATGGACATTGCTGTTATTAAATACTGTCATGTCAGTTCCGACTCATAGCAACCCTGTATAGGGTTTCCGAGGAGTGACTGGTGATTCTGAACTGCCGACCTCGTGGCTAAAACTGACTTTCTAGACCAGTGCCTTATCCCACAGTGCTACTTTTTTTTCATGGCAGTGTATGGCTATGTTACGATACTATTTTTTTCACAATTAGTTTTCTTTTCTGAAGTGAAAAGAACCTTGTAGATGATGTTTAGGAAAGGGAGTGAAGTAAGTTGTTTGACCCACATTATTTGTCCCCATCCTTTTACCAGACTTGTAAAGACTTAGAAAAATTGATTCCTTTAGAGAGAGTTCTTGGAATGAGTTCAATTTGTATCCGGGTTCTACCTGAAAAGCAAGATATATGAGGAAAAATTTAATTTCAAGAGAAATGAATAGCAGGTGCCAGAACCGGGAGATAATTACTTGGGAGACCACCTAAAGCCTCACTCAATTGGAAAGAGAGATGATATATATGACCAGGGGACTGCATCAGACACAGGACAAGGGAGATCTCACGTCCTGGTTCATAAACTCAACCTGCATGACTCAGCAGAGCTCTGAAGGGAGAACACCTAAGAGACGGAAATGATTTTGGACAAACGAGAAAAATTTTTAAAGTTAACTACTAATTTTATAAAATTCAAGAACTATGAAAAATTAAAGGAGAAACCAGGAAGTGCATCTCAGGTAGTCTTTATCATGGTTCAAAGGAAAATCGCCTAGGAATTTAACTAAGCAGTAAATGTCTTACATTTCAGTGAGAGGACAAAAAGAGAAATGTAAACATTCTGAAGTATCTGGAAGAGAGGGAGTTTACCGCAAAACCTCTCAAAACAAAACAAAATAGTTAAAACCTTTACTGTCAAGTCCTTGTGTTGCCAAGTTGAATTGCTCCATAGGTTTCCTTAGTTGTAATCTTTACAGACTCAGATTGCCAAATCTTTCTTCCACGGGGTGGGTTAGAATTACTAACCTTGAAGTTAGTGGTGGTGGTGGTGTATCGTCGAATTTGTTCTGACACACAGCGACCCTGTAGGGTTTCTGACGCTGTGAATCTTGACGGGAGCAGAGAAAGTCTCATCATAAATGCCGTGGAGCGGCTGGTAGATTCATACTGCTGACCTTGCAGTTAGCAGTAATCCACTACGCTATCAGGCCTCCTTTTTAGATTTGTTGTTGTTGTTATGTGCCGTGGAGTCGATTCCGACTCATAGCGACCCTGTACAGGGTTTGCGAGGGCGTAAAATCTTTACGGGAGTAGAAAGCCTCATCTTTCTCCCGCGGAGTGGCTGGTAGTTTCAAACTGCTGACCTTGCGGCTCACAGCCCAGTTCGTAACCACTACGCTGCAAACCCTTTGTACCACCCAGAAAGCTCATAGGTTGCTAATAGGGCTCAATAAACGTAAAACAGGCATACAAAATAAATAGAGTAACTTGAAAATATTGAGAATAAGCATATAAGAAAATTACATATTTATTGGGAAAAAAAGAAATACTTTTAAAATCCATTTTAAATTTAAGATTTTACACCAGGCAGGTTGTTTTTTTACATATCAGCATCCTGGCAGATGCCTGCCTCAGCTTTTTAGATCCAAGAATCAAAATAAGTGAGTGGCCTGAAGGATAAAGAATGGCTATAGTCTCTGCAAACAACAAAGCTTGTTTTTGATCTGTCACACGGTGGAAAAAGCCCATCAATAAAGCAGACAAATTGTATATAGAAAGAAGGAAGAGAAATGAAGCCACAGTTTTCATAGCTCCTACATGGGCTTCTGTGCTGGGGTCTCTATAGCCTGTAGCGCTGTGTTTCATTTGCTTGCAATGTCTCCGAAGGGATAACATCAAAAGGAAAAGTGAAATCAATGACACAGTAAATGGAACAATTCCCAGCAAGGTAAACTGAGTCAGGACATTATTTGGACGATTTCTATTCACATAGGACAGTTCAGTCAGGTTGTTTTTTGGTTCTGCAATGACATGAAATCTATAATAATCAATCATTATCATTACTAGTGTAAGGAAGATCAAGAAGGAGATAGCCAAGCAACCCAGCAGGAGATGGACAATGACTCTATCAATTCTCCACTTCAGCCAGAGAAAAAGTGGATGGGAGAAGTTGGCTATCTTGAGGAGATAGAAGACACTGAGGCAAGTGCCAAACCAGCTACTTGAGTGATTGCTGAACGTCCAGAAGGTATCATTGACTATGCTGGCTTGATCCGGTATTAATGAATCAGGATAGAATATATTCATGTTGAAATTTAGGACTATTATACAGATCAGGCAAATCCTGGAGAAAGCTAAACTGGTGAGGATGTAGTCAATTGAGGAGAGTTTTTTCTTCTTAACCCAGTCACTGAAGGTTACTAGTCCAATAAATCCATTCCCCAATACTCCTATTATAAATTCTCCATTTGTTATGATCATAAATATGCTGACTTCTGTATTGAGCATGTTTGTACAGAGAACACGCTGATCTCAAATGTCACTGCAGATGACCAGTTGGAGAATGAGAAATAAAATCTTCAAATTATAGAACAGAATTTTCACCTGTCATCATTTTCACTTTGATATCATTCCTGAAAGTGCCCAGCTCGCCTCTGACATAGGATTGTTTCTACAGTCATAAAAACTAAATGAACCAATGGCTGCAAACAAACAGCTCAAGCAGCTATTTGTAGCCTGGGCAAATGACAATTAACTACCTTGTAGTGAGTGGTAAGTAAAACTGTTGGCTGAAACGGTTTTCTCTCATGCAAAAGCAACAAGATTTTATTTCGTGAATTTGCAATTATTTTGTTATGCAAATTGAGTTTTGAATATGGAGCCACTAAAACATGCTTAATAAAAATTAGAAATTGCAAATAAAACCTAATTTTCATCACCATAAGTTATAAATTACCCACAAATCAGTTTCTCTAGATGGAAATTAACTTTAGTTTTCAAAACAGTGGGTACAATCAAACTCTAGAGAATTAACATTCATTATTGAGATGCAGAATAATAGCTTTGGTCTTTATTTTGATGGTTGATTAAGGAAGGCTATGATATAAATCCAATTCTAAATGACAGTATTATTAGTCAGGCAGGTACATGGCAATGTTTAATAAGAATCACCCTCTGCATAGTTGTTTAGTAGACTTAAAAGATGTCAGATAAAGATTTGATATTTTTAGTTTTATTTAATATGAGATGTGTTCTCCACTATAATTCAATTATTGGCATGCTGACTTTTAGATAAAAAGCATTTTCATATAAAATTAAAGAAATAAACACTTTATTTTTATCTAGTTCCAATCAACTAGAAAAGATATTTATATGATTATACAGTCAACATTGTAGTTATTTCTCTAAATATCATATCAACAAATAAACAATTCTTTTTTTTTCCTAAAAGAAAACCTCTCCCAGGGAACTGTATTATTCTACAATGCCTACTCCTCACTATCAACTATTTTATCTGACATTTCACATTTACGACAATAGTGAAAAATCTACTATGCAACTATTTTGTATATTAACTCTATATCTGGCAACAATGAATGTGAGGTGCAAGGCAAGAGTAGTGCTGGCTCGGCCAAGACTTCGAGTGGTTTGGAAGTATGTGATGATATAGTCAGCCTTCATTTTATGATCTGATGTAGTCATCTTTCACTTTCTCCTAACACCTCTTTTCACATAAGACTCTGGTCTTTGGAAGATGACCATATTGGTAAATGAGGAGTGGATGTATTAAATTCACTTAACTAGATTTATTCTTTTTAGGGGAAACATGAGTTAGCCCATAAGAAATTTACCTCTAGGCAACACAAATCACAATAAACTAAAGTTTTGATTTTTTTATTCCAATGTAAACAGCATTGTTATTTTTCCCTACTTCTTAACATTTGCCTGATAGGTACCAGGAAAGCATGAAATTTATATTTTAAAAGAAACCTAGTTATTTAGAAAATATTACTGCAAGCAAAATAGAGAAAAAGGAAACATGAAGAAGAAAACAGAAAAACTCCAGAGTCCAGAAGTTTAGAAAGAGCATTGCAAAGAAAGAGCATTGAGACTGACTGCTAAAACTGTCCTCACCAACTTGATCATTATAACTCTCAGTCTTCTTTCCCAAGGTGCCTCTGGTATATACATTCTTAATGGTACAAACCTTCCTCTGGTTAAACCTTCTTTCTTGAGCTCATACTACTTTTCCTATATCATACTTGCCCCAAGGCAGAAGCTCATCAAATCTTTTTTTCTTCCCTTCTGATCAGCACAGACCATTAAAAAATTAATGGACTGGGATGGAAAAGGTAAGAACTGGCTTTTAATTCAGACAAAATAGACTGATTTTTACATGACTGATTTTATTGGAGGGACTGATGTGTTCTAAAATCCCTTCCCCACAGCTTGTTTACCTGAAATTCTTTTACTCACTGAGTTCAAAGCCTTTCCCAGTGTTGATACTGTGTGTTGTAGAGTTGATTCCAATTTAAAGTGACTTCCTATTTGGAGTCCTGGTGTAGCGTGCAGGATAAAGTGCTTGACTGCATGGTTAGTTTCAACTGCAGGGTCGGTGGTTCAAACTCCCTAGTTGCTCTTCAGAAATCCAATACTGGGTCTCTATGAGTTAGAACCAACTTCATGGTACTTTACAACAGCATAGGACAGAACTTCCCCCATAGGGTTTTCTAAGCTGTGAATCTTTATGAGAGGATATCACTAGGTCTTTTCTCCCACAGAATGGTTGGTGGGTTCAAACCACAGAGCTGGTGGGTTCAAGCAGCTGAATGTTTCACCACTGTGCCACTGGGGCTCCTTGTTTTACCAGTAATATGGCAGAAAGCAGCAGAAGTCTTTGTATTTAGGCAATGATATGAAAACAGTGTGAATTCAGATTACTTTTTCCCGTAAGGACAAAGAAATCATAGTGGTTCAATTATAACATTACATTAAAAAATAAGCAAGACAGAAATGTGATGAAAGAATAATGATACATATTAATTTCCCATAGCATGTAAGGGGTAAAAAAAAATACAATCACTTGAGATAAAGAAGAAAATCTTTAGTTGATTCTTTCTCCTTTAATTCAAGTCTCTTCAGGGTTCTCTATGGATCATAGGGCTGTGAGACCCTTCACAAACCTTAGCACCTTCAGAAAAGCTCCCCTCAGCTTCCTGTTCCCCATTATCAGGATGAATGAATGGCTTGATGGGAAAATGACAGTTATTATACCACCAAATATCACCACTAATTTGCTTTGGGGAATCAGAAAGCTAGAGGTAAGCATCAGAAAGAGTGTATAGTACAGAATGAAGTGGACCAGAAAAATGACCACTGCCTTTATGGCCCTCATGTGGACCTCTGCACTGGGGTCTCTGGACCCTATGGCATGATGTTTCATCTGCTTGGTGTGCCTAATTAAAGAGAAAAGTAACAAGAGAAATGACATCAGAGATAAAATAAAGGGCACTACAGCCCCTAAGTTCAGGAACACCGATTGCAAAGAATTCGGAATTTTACTCACTTTGAGTTCCAAAGTTCTATTTTCTTCATTATTGTCCTTCAAGTGATACTGGAAATCATTATACAAACAGCAGTCCATTGAAACACTAATAAGTAAGGAGACAAGAAAGGACCCAAGAAGAATGCCAAGGATGACCATGTTAATATTTTGCTTCAGCCAGAGGAAAAGCGGATGGGAGATATTGCTTATCTTGAGCAAATAGTAGATACTGAGGCAAGAAGTACACCAGACATTTGAATGATTGCTTAGTGTCCAGAAAACATCCAAAATGTACATCATTTCATCATTAGCATGTGTATCTGGAGACAGCACTATGATAAAACCATCTAAAGTTATTACACACAACAGACAGATTCTGCAGCTGGCCAAGCTAACCAGGATGATGTCAACCAAGGAGGTATCTCGCTTTTTGAGGTAGCTAATGCAGTTAACCATTATAATGAATCCATTTCCCCAAATCCCTAAAGCCAGTTCACCAGCAATCAGGATCATATAGATGATCTCCACTGTACTTGGCATGTCAGCAGAGAGTTCTGACTTTGAATATCACTGATGGTGAATTGATTTCCCACTGCAATTGGTCACTGAAGAATGATAAATATATCTGCCACTTAGGACACACTGCAATTGTTTTTCTCCATCCCCTTTGTCAGCTGTGATTCAGGTCAAGAAGATTCTGCTCTGGATTAGAATTGCCTAAAGACTTCAGTGATTGAGATCAGCAATTTCCATCCTGTGTAGTGATGATTGAAAGGCTCTCCAATGCAAATGGGAATGGATCTGATTTCCTGGATTTGCAAATTCTTTCTTATTTTAAGCTCTGTGTATTGTAGAGTCAACAATCTGAGCTGTGCACTACAAATTTCCAGAAGGATTCTCTTAGTTGGAAAATAGCTTGGCATCATTACATTTTCAAATTACTTGTAAAGTTTCCACAAACTGGTCTTTTCTGTACAAATGCAAATCTGGGGACTTAAAAAATAATCAGTGAATTAGAAGTGTAGAACATCAATAATAATTTAAACATTGAGTTCATTAATTAGGATAGTTCAGCTAGGACAGTAGTGTTTTTCTTGCATTTGTCTTGCCAAGAACTTTGTCTAGAAAGTGAATTTTCTCAACAAAGGCTTTTTGTTATCTTTGACTTTATTCAATATATTTTCAAAATGTTCATAAACATATGAAACACTTTCCCAGTCACCTGAGGTGGGGCAAGGAACTATCTTTCAAGTTCTCAGTTATTCAATTTCTAGCTCTTTTGTCCAACAATATGGAGAATGAGTATTGAAGATACTCTAGTGTGTCAATCAACACCTCTTAGAATTCGACCTCAGAATTTCTATGTACATGCAATCTATTTGATTTGATAAAATGATTATAATCTTCTTGATAATGCTTTTATAAGAACAGATATCCATTTAAAAGGCAAAACATGTACCTGATCAGATTTTTTGTATTTTATAACATCTTTTTGGTTTTATGATTTAAAATACATAACATCTAAATCTATAAAACAGAGAACTAGCTTTATATTGAGATTGTCTTCCATTGGCTTCAATATTTCACCAATGTAACACACAATCTGGAGACTTTCCAACTTTGGCATAACATTCTACTCTGTCAGAGAGAAAGGTCATGAGATGATCTCAAATAAATGTTGTAGCATTTGCACATCATTTACACATATATTCTGAGAATATTAGTACAAAATGGCAGGTAGGCCAGGTCTGACTTCTTCTGGCTTTGCAATGGGGGAGAATCAAACTTAAAATCTGCCAAGGCAGATTCCTATGAAGCAGAGGTTAGACATGCCTCCCCAGTTCAACCTTCTTTGCCCTCTTCTTTGACCAAGCTTCCCTCCCATAGCACTCCCTGCTTCACATCTGGGTCTGATAATCCTTTGCAATGGCCACACAGAACTCATAGACAATATGATTATTGGGCTTATTAAAGAAGTGAACAGGGTACAATTCAGGATCAGAAATAACTCAGGATGTAACAGTTGTCCAGTCAGGAATGCCTTTTCTCTGCTGAAGGCAGGCACACCTGACTCATGTCTTTGGTCTCTCAGCCATGTGGCCCCTCAGACTCCGCCCTTCTCAGGCAAGTGGTACAAAGCTCTTTAGCACTGTAGTAAATGCCGATAGGGCACATTTTGCAAGCCAGCCTCCTGCTTGTTGGCACTCAGCTTTACTAGGTCCATGGGTAAGGAAGCCCACAGCTGCTCTTACTTTCCATGCTTCTACCTCTGGTAGCGTAGTGGTTACGAATCGGGCTGCGAACCTTAAGGTCAGCAGTTCGAAACTACCAGCTGCACCGCGGGAGAAAGATTAGGCTTTCTACTCCCGTAAAGATTGACACCCTCGGAAACCCTATACAGGGTCGCTATGGGTCTGAAACGGCTCGATGGCACATAACAACAACAACAACCTCTGCTGCTACCATTTTTCTAGGCAAGGATCTAAAACTCCACTCATGGCTCTTCTATATTGATGATCCTGGTTCATCTGTTCCTGCTTCTGAGATGGCTCTTTTTAAGTCTACTGGCTGGCTGGCTGGCCGTGTGCCGTGAAGTCAATTCCAGCTCACAGTGACCCTGTGCAGGGTTTCCGAGGCTGTAAGTCTTTACAGGAATAGAACACCTCATCTTTCTCCTGCGGAACAGCTGATAGTTTCGAACTGCTGACCTTGCGATTCACAGCCCAACTCTTAACCACTATGCTACCAGAGCCCATTTAAGTCTACTAGGATGGCAAAATTTACCAATCCTGGTGTTAGCATCCTTTGCACCTTATTTGCATGGTCCTACACAATCTTTTTTAACTGATTTTTAAACTTTTTTTTACTGATGAAGATCAAGGAGCACAGCCTTCCATATGGATTACATTTCAATGTAAAGAAAACAAAAATCCTCACCGCTGGACCAATAAACAACATTCCTATCAATGGAGAAAAGATTGAACTTGTCAAGGACTTCATTCTTCTTGGATCAACTATCAACACCCACGGAAGCAGCAGTCAAGTGATAAAACAACGTATTGCATTAGGCAAATCTGCTGCACAAGACCTTTTTAAAGTATTGAAGAGCAAAGAAGTCAGCTTGAGGACTAAGGTGCGCCTGACTCAAGCCATGTTGTTTTCAATAACCTCATATGCATGAGAAAGCTAGACAGTGAATAAAGAAGACCATAGACAAATTGATGCCTTTGAGTTATGGTTTTGGAGGAGAATATTGAAAGTGCCATGGACTGCCAAAAGAACCAATAGATCCATTTTGGAAGTAGTGCAGCCAGAGTGCTCCTTGGAGGCCAAGATGGCCAAACTTCATCTCTAATACTTTGGACATATTGTCAGGAGGGACCAGTCACTGGAGAAGGGTCATATTTGGTAAGGTGGAGGGTCAGAGAAAAAGAGGAAGACCCACAATGAGATGGATTGGCCAAGTGGCAGCCTTGATGGACTCAAGTGTGGCAACAGTGGTGAGGTTGGCCCAGGATCAGGCAGTGTTTCGTTCTGCTGTGCATAAGGTCACTGTGGTATGGGTCAGTACTGACTCGATGGCACTTAACAACAACAACAAACACAATCTTTTGGACTCCTGGTGTGGCATTGTAGGATCAGCACTGGACTGGGAATCACAAAGTCCACAGTTCAAACCCACCAGGTGCTCCTTGGAAACCCTAAACAGGATCACAATGAATCCAAACTGACTCAATGGTACTCAACAGCAACAACACAATCATTTGGTGGGAGTTAAGAAAATATGGGGTGGAAAAGCCATATCAAGTAAATTCACGGAACCACAATTTGTAGTAACACACGCTGAGTATAGAAACTGGGGACTGTTTGATGGGGTGGTGATTATTATTGCTAAGTGCTGTGGAGTCAATTTCTACTCACAGCAACTATGTGTAGGGTTTCCAAGGTTTTAAAGGTTTCACAGGAACAGAAAGCCTGGTGGGCTTGAGCTGCCAACCTTGTGGTTTGCAGTCCAGTGCTTATCCATTTGATGGGTTTGTTGTTGTTGTTGTTGTCAGGTGCCATCGAGTCAGAACTGACTCATAGCGACCCCATGCACAGCAGAACGAAATAATGTCTGATCCTGGGCCAACCTCACTACCGCTGCCACACTTGATGCCATCAATGATGCCACCTGGCTGATCCATCTCATTGGGGGTCTTCCTCTCTTTCTCTGACCCTCTATCTTACCCAGCATGACATCCTTCTCTAGTGACTGGTCCCTCCTGACAATATGTCCAAAGTATGAGAGACGAAGCTTAGCCATCTTGGCCTCCAAGGAGCACTCTGGCTGCACCTCTTCCAAATTGATGGGTTTAGGGATCAAATATATTTTCATATATTTAAAAGCCACTCAAATTTACATTTTGTGGTGTGAACTTTATATATTCTTTTTATTAAAAAAAAAAACAACAACTATATGCCATTGTGTTTTAGGTGAAAGTTTATACAATAAATTAGATTTCCCTTTAATAATTTTTATACTAATTGTTCCATGTCATCATTTAGAATTATAGAGGAATAAGGTTTGCAAGACTAAATATGGCTGCACTCTTGATTGCTGCTAGCCCATTCCTACATATAAAGTCATTCTTGAGCAACACCTTGGAGGTAGAGGGTCCCGGCAAAAAACCCTTTGCAGGTTAGAGTTATAAAAGACCCTACTTCCCTGTAAGTGGGTATGGGTATTGTCTCAGTAAGGAAGCCATTAACAAACTGCTGTATCACCATCCTGTAGCTGTCATCCTCATTCTTTAGTAGCTTGGTCCCTTTCATCTTTGGAGGAAAATTTAAAGTTACTGATCTGTGCCCAGTCAGCATGCTTATGATTTCCATTGTTTGTTTTGTTTCCATTGATCTAGTTTCTCTTTCCCTTATTACCTTCTCATCTTTGTTTTTGGTTAAATATTGACCATTTGGTCTCATATAGCCCATTTCTTATTAAAAGCACATTACTTATAGGTGATGGTGGTCATGTGCTGTGGAGTCAGTTCCAGCTCATAGCAACCCTGTACAGGGTTTCCAAGGCTATAAATCTTTACAGGAGCAGAAAGCCTCATCTTTCTCCCGCGAAACAGTTGGTAGTTTCCAACTGCTGACCTTGTGGTTCACAACCCGATTCATAACCACTACACTACCAGAGCTCCTTAGTTATAGGTAATAGTGTTTATTTTATATGCCAATCTGTTATTTGACTGGAAGGTGACCTGCAGAAATAGCTCCAGTTTCACGTTCACTCTCTTAGGTCCCGTCTCTACTGGTCCAGAAGATCTGGCTTTTTTTTTGCTTTTTTTTTTAGGAATTTGAGTTCTGTTCTACAGTTTTCTCCTGTTCTATCTAGAACTATCTATTCTGTCTCTGATCAGAATGGTTGGTAGTGGTAGCTGGGTACCATCTACTTCTTCTAGTCTCAGGTTAGAAAATGTTGTGACTGATGTCAGCTATTTACCTTGTGAACGCATTTCTTCTTTGAGCATTTGATGTCCTCATTCTCTTTTACTCCGTATATATAGAGACCAATAGTTAACTCTTCAAGATGTTAAGGCCCTGTATGACTGCTCATAAACTTTTAAGACCCTAGATGCTACTCAGCAAACTAGAATTATCCTTATGTACTATGTTACACCAATTGACTAAGTAGTCCAAAAAGACTACAGTCTCAGACCTTTCAACCCAAATAATCAATCCTGCAAGCTGTCTGTATATGTTTAGGAAGCTTTTGCAACTGTGTTCCCATGTGGCTTGTTATTGATGTGGATGTAAATGCAATATACACAAATGTGTACAAACATATGCCTACAGACACTCCTATATATGTATCTGCATTTACTCACATATGCATTATGTGCATTCATAACTACCTACATAATCACACACATATTTTTTAGTTGTTTTTGCTGTTGCTGCAAAATTGTATTGTTGTTGTTAAATGTCGTCGAGCTGGTTCCAACTCATGGTGACCCTGTATAGGGTTTCCAAAGAGCTGCTGGTGAATTTGAAGCACCAACCTTATGGTTCAAACAGACCTTGTGGTCAAGTATGTATCCTACAATGTTACACCAAGACTCCTGCAAAATTGTATATGACATAGTATTTACCAAATTTGTCCCTTTTTTCTTGTGTACTTCTTAGTGTCTTTATTGTCTTTGTCAAGTTGTGCTGACTTCACTGATTTTTGGTCTTGCCTTTCCCATCATCAGATGTATCAAATGTCTATCTAGAAAGTGACTCTCCTTCTTTTCCCTCCCATCCTTGGTAGCCATAAAAGAACTTTGCTTTCTGTGTATATATCTATTCTTGACTTTTTGTAATAGTGGGGCTATACATTATTTGTCTTTTTGTGATTGACTTATTTTATTTGGCATACTGTCTTTTATGTTTTCCAGATTCATCCATGTTATAGTTCATGAGCTCCTCATTATTCTTTATAGTTGCCTGGTGGTGCTGGTGTGCCGTGGAGTTAGTTCCATGTTATAGTGACCCTGCATAGGATTTCCAAGGTTGTAAATCTTTATGGGAGCAGAAAGCCTCATCTTTCTCCCATGGAACAGCTGGTGGTTTTGAACTGCTGACCTTGAGTTTAGCAGTCTGACTCATAACCACTCTGCTACCAGAACTGCTTTATAGTTGTCTAGTGGATTAAAATTTGGCTATACAGATTTTTATTAAAATGGCTATTTTTCTAGCTAACCAAATAACTGTTCTATTAGTGTAAGCTATAGTAGTGAGTAGAGTCTTGGTGTGTAGCGCTGTGGGTTAATGCATCAGACTGCAAAGCCGTTTGAACTGCAAGGTCGGTGGTTCAAGCTCACCAGCTGCTCCTCGAAAACCCTATACAGGGTCACTATGGGTCAGAATCAACTCGATGGCATTTAACAACAACAATGACATAGTAGTGAGTATCTCAAATTATCTCAAATATAATGATCACAAATACCTTTTAAAAGCATGGAAAATTAGTAAGTTGTAACATAACTTGTGTAAAAAGTATACTTTTTAAAAACCAAATCCATTGAGTCCATTCTAACTCATAGGACCCTTACAGGGCAGTGTACAAATGCTCCTTAAGATTTCTAAGACTATAAAAATTTAAGAGCAAACAACCTCATTTTTTTTCCCTTGGAGCAGCTGGTGGGTTTGAATTGCCAACCTTGCAGTTAACAGTTCAGTGCTTAAGCCATAGTATCACTAAGGTGCTAAACAATCTGTTAAATTTGGTTGAAACTGAGTATTGCTCTTAGGTTTTTTAGTTTTTCTATCCCTATTTCTATCAGTACATCCCCAAAATACTAGCATAAAAATACAGAATTTCAGATTTGGAAATCTAACATAGAGAATTTATTAAGCCCTATTATTTAAAGGAAGGAGCTCTGGTAGTATAGTGGTTACGAATTGGGCTGCCAATCACAAGGTCAGCAGTTTGAAACTGCCAGCTGCTCTGCGGGAGAAAGATGAGGCTTTCTGCTCCCATAAAGATTTACAGCCTTGGAAACCCTGTTCAGGGTCGCTATGAGTCAGAACCGACTAGATGGCACTTAACAGCAACAACAACATTATTTAAAGGAGTCCTGGTGTAGTGCTGTGGGCTAATGCGTCAGACTGTAAAGTCATTTGAACTGCAAGGTCAGTGGTTCAAGCTCACCAGCTCCTCCTTGGTTGCTATAGGTCGGAATTGACTCGCCAGCACTTAACAACAAATTATTTAAAAATCTTTCAGGTATCAAACCATAAATATAAGGATGTGTACACTTTTTAAAATAACCAAACTAAGTCGCTGAGTTCACATCCTGGGTTGGGCATAAAAATTCACCTTGTAAAGCAACATTTAAAAGTTTGTATAAGCAGGGAGCAAAGTTATGAAAACTTAATCATAACCAAACACCTTGAAAGAATTTGTCACTGGACCTGGGGGCTAAGGATCATAGTGTTGGGGGACATCAGGCCAATTGGCACACCATAGTCCACAAACAAAGTGTTCTACATCTTACTTTGGTGAGTAGTGATTGGGGTCTTAATAGCTCAAGATCTGCCATCTAAGGTGCACCTATAGCTATCTCTCCATACAGAGAAAAGAAGAGTGAAGAAAATCAAAGCTGCAAAGAAACAGTCCAAAAGAGTAATGGATCATGCAAACTTCAGCTTGCATGGTCCTGAGACTAGAAGAATGGTGCCTAGCGACCACTACTAACTTCTCTGAAAGGATCACATTAGAAGGTTCTGGGTAGAGTGGGAAAACTATGTGGAACAAAATTCAAAATCATAAAAAAGACCATGCTCACTGGTCAAAATGAGACTGATGAAATCTCTAAGACTATGGTCCTTAGTCATCCTTCAGGCCTGGAACTGAACTCACCCTGTCCCTCAATTTTCAGCCAAATAATAGGCAGGTCTTTAAAGTGAACAATAACACTAGGGAGGTACACCCTCGTAGAACAATCAATCATTTAATATCCAAAAAGCAACATTTGCCCAAGGACAAAGTTTAGAAGGCAAGGAGAGTTATGAAAGAAAGAAGAATGGATGTGGGCAACACAGGGCAGAAGTAGAGTATGAGTGATGTTACATTGTGGGGATTACAGTCAAGGACAAAACCAAAACAGGTTTGACTTGTTGAATGAAAAGACTGATTTCCTCTGTAAACCTCTCCCAATTCACAATGAAAAGTGTTGTTTTTTAAAATTTTGTGTATGAAGGTAGATGTATGAGAATGTGAATATTTGCAAAACCACAGAACTGAACAGTTCATACCTAACAATAATTCTACCTAGATTCAGTTTTGTGGTATAATCTTATTGACAATATCGAGTTATTTGGATCTGTACTTCAAGAACAATCTTTTCCCAATTTCAATTGATTCATGACCTTTGCTTCCTCTCAAATCACTGGATCTGAAAATGACAAAGCTTTATTTAATAATGAGTACTTCTGATCTCTTCTCCCCCCTGTAGGCTGTCTTCCCTAAGCAATATTTCATAAAACCACATCTACTACTAATATCATTATGGCTATCATACTAAGACCATGTCATTGTGGGGGGAAATGTTGGGATTTAAGTAGTGAGCATACAAATTATCCTTTAGAGAATTAAATTGAACACATAAAAGAAGCTCCCCTGTCTCTGTCTCTCATTGTCATGGCTTTAAGGTCAAGATTGAGTATATAGTTCTTGGTCTTTCTTTTTCTTTAGTTCTTGGTGAAACTGTATCAATTCTTCAAGGATGTCAGGTAAAGCACAATGAAAAGTCTTATATCAGATACTTGTTCCCACCATCATACTATTTACAGTGCATAGTCTTCAAGCTGATGGTTTTCCTCCAGTAGTGTGTGAAAAGAAGATCTCTCAGGAACCTAATTGAATCACTGAGTTCACTTGTGAGAATTGAATCTTGCTGAAAAGTGCGATTCTCTGAGAAGTATTCAGCACCGTAATCGAACATTTCAGTGACGTCTGACAGCACATTTTAAACCAGTGCAAGAATGAGGTACATGTGAACCATATCTTCAAAGATTTTTACACCAGATTAATCTCCTAGAATATCTATTTTTCTCCAAACATGGCTACGGAACACTGAGATTTTTTCCTTTTCTTGTAACATTTTAATTGCTGCAGTACTCTCAAAGAAGTTTGCTTTAGCTTGCTGTTTCCCAGAATTAGGATAAATGAGTGACCCCAGGGATAGATGAGTGTGACACTCAGACCAAATAAAAATAGCAGTTTTTCTTCTGGCAAAACAAAACATGAAACTTCTATGGTAATACCTACAAAATACAAAATAAGGAGGACCATAAAAGACATCAACATTTTCGTTGCTCTCATATAGGCGTCTGTGCTAGGGTCTCTGAACCCTGTAGCATTCAGTTGCATCCTCCTATTATGTCTCCAAAGGGAAATTATTATCAAGAAACATGCAATCAATGAGACAGTAAAGAGAAAAATGACTCCCAGGTTGACTAAAATTTGGCTAAAAAAGTAGTCAGTTTTATGCATGTTAAGGTGCCAGGCTCTGCTTCCATTCTGGGCTTTATGACCATTAATAATTTTCACCGTTTGTGGAAAGGAAAGTAACCATGAAATAAGCAAGGATCCTGTAAGGAAGAGAAGGACTCTCTTAGGTCCACTCTTTAACCAGACAAAAATGTGGTGGGAAAAGTTTGCTATCTTCAGAAAATAAAAGATGTTAAGGCTGGTAGCAAACCAGAGACTTGATTGATTGATAATTATCCATAAGTAACTAATACATTCAATTAAGCCACTAGAGACATAAAAATCTGGAAAAAAAGTCTTTAAAAATCCATCTATAACTAGTATCCATATCAGGAAACTTCTGGAAACAGCCAAACCAGCAAGAATGAAGCCAATCACAGAGAATTTCTTATTCTTGACACATTCAATACAGTTTACAAGTCCAATAAATCCATTCCCTAAGCTCCCCAACACTGTCTCACAAACCACAATAAAAATGAGGATATCTTCCGTGACACTTAACATTTCTGCTGACCTCTAATACTGTTTCTGTTGCATCTATTTTAGATTATCTGCTGCAGAATGAGACAGATATTAACTTTTTTATGAATCATTTTCTTCTTGTTTATTATAAAAACATTTTAAAATGCTGAATGATGCCTTGTGATGGGATCCGAAGTATCTTCATAAAGACCTTTCCAGTTGTTTCTATAAAATCTTAGCTACCCTAGAGAATATATAATATGTTCAGACTGAATGTGTATATACAATTAGTTAATATGCAAAGGAAATCTCCTGTTTCATGGATTTGACTTGTTCTTCTGAGACTATTTTGCATTTATCATGAATAGTGGTGTGGGATGCCAAAGAAATAGCTAAAGGATACAAAACACAATAAAGCCAAGAGTTAAATTAACTCTGTTGATTTTTATCAATATCAACATCATTCTCATCATTTGTTGTGTTTATAATCACAATTTATATATGTGAAGAAGAAATACTGTACAAAAATAATCAATGAATTTGGTCACTATAGAAACTAACTCCGAATAACAAAAGACACAAAAAAATGCATTTTCTTAATTTTACCCCCTTGCATTCCCAAAAGGGTACACTGCCAGTTGTAATATAAAGAGGATAAAAGGTTATAATCCAATCACATAAAAATACTTACGATTTTTATTTATGTCTAGTTTGTGTTAATGTAGGTTTTAGAAGCCATTTTCTTATCGTTACCCTTTACCTCATCTAAGGAGCTCTGGTAGCGTAGTGGTTACGAATCGGGCTGCTAACCTCAAGGTCAGCAGTTCGAAACTACCAGGTGTCCCGCGGGAGAAAGATGAGGCTTTCTGCTCCGGTAAAGATTTATAGCCTCAGAAACCCTGTACAGGGTCGCCATGAGTCGGAACCAACTCCACGGCACATAACAACAACCCCTTACCTCATCTCCCCTAGAGCTCTGATATTGCCCCTTCATATTTCTATTTTTTATTTTTTGCTTAGATTTTAATCTTCTCTTGGGGAAGGTAAATTTCATAAATATTAACTGACAAAATTGTTGCTGTGTTTTTATACTCATGGATTTGTGAATGCAAGGTATTATCTTGAATGCTATTTATGTGAAAAGCCGTTAGGAATCGTCCCTTCATATAGCATATTTCTATGCATGTTTGCATGGATCCATTCATTTATTTATTCAAAAAGTATTTGCTGAGTGTCTATATATGTGTCTCAAATCACATTCTAAATGTTAACAACTCACCTAAGTAGTTCTCTTGATTTGTGGAAAACTTTACTCAGATACAAGATTAATGTGACTGAAGAAAAAAGTTCTCTTTTTCGACCAACCAGCAATATTTATTAAACCTTTTTAAGGGGCCAGGTTGTAACTCTAAAATAAGCTCTGGACTGCTAACCACAAGGTCTACAGTTCAAACAAATCAGTGTCTATACAGGAGAAAGATAGGGCTGTGTGTGTACTCATAAAGATTTACAGTCTTGGAAAGTGTACAGGGTTACTGTAAGTCAAAATCAACTCCACGACAGTAGGCTATCAGTAGTTTTGTCTCCATGTTGAGTTCTTCGGTATAGAAAATGAGTAGGGAAATAGCTCACTTAGTTAAATTGTACAACTTTAGTAATAATTTCTATAGTTATGCTCATCAATTTGAATATTTCAAACTTTTCTGATTATGAGAGTTTTTTTGTTGCTGTTATTTCTAATTGTAACCATTCCCTCAGATTCTATCTTTTCTCTTTTCAGGGAAAGCTCGTTTGCAGTGTTACCTTACAAACTAAGATGCAAATGACATGTACTAGCATAAAGAGAATTTCCATTTTACCAGAAACTAAAATTTTATGCAAAGTAGGTGAAGCTTTCATGGTAACAGCAAAAAACTGCTTTGGAAAGGAAATTTTTTAAGTAATTTTTAATTCAGATAAAATCAGATAATTCATATAATGCAGAAACTTGGAAATCACAAAATGCCTATTTAAAAAGAGCATTGTCAAGCTTTTTCCCATTAAGAAGCATATAACTATTATTTTCTCATATCGATAATATTGTCCTGGTGTGGCACTGTAGGATAAGCACTGGTCTGATAATCATAGCATTGGCAATTCAGTGTCAATGCCCTGGTCTATGAAAATACAGTTAGGAAATGCCCAGTGAAAAGACAAGGCATGTGTGCCCTATTGGTTCATTCCACGTGCTGAAGAAATCAGAGTGATGAAAATTGAAGATGCTTGATCAACTAGTCCAGTGGATCAATGGAGCAGGTGAACCTCAATCATCATGATTCTAAGATTAGAAAAACTAGATGGTGCCCACATACCACTACCTCTGAGAGGGATCACGTTAGAGGGTCCCTGATATAGTGAGAGAAAATGTGAAACAAAATTCAAAATTATAAAAAACAAAAAACCGGCTTACTGGTCAGAAAGAGACTAGAGGAACCTGAGACCATGGCCCTCAACCACTCTTCACATCTGGAAAGGAAACTCACCCTCCTGGCCCAATTTTTAATCAAGTAGTAGATAGATAGATAGATAGATAGATAGATAGATAGATAGATAGATAGATAGATAGATATGGGGGGACAACAACTCTAGTCAGATAAGATCCGCATGAAATGGTTGATTATTCAAGATCAACAGGGCAACATTTACCTAAGAACAAAGTTGAGAAGGGATGGGAAGGAGGGTGGAATGGAAATAGGGACCACAGGATAACTGTTGTTGTATGGAGGGTCATTGAGATGATACAAAGTGTATGATTTTTTGAATGTGATCTTCTCTATAAAGTTTCACTTAATATACAATAAGAAGTTTTAAAAAAGAAAAAAGAATTGCTCTCTTACTTATTTACTAAGGATACAATATGTCAGACTGGATGGTACTTAACAGTAACTATATGTTAAAATACTTCCAGGTCTCCCTTAACACTGATCATAAAGTCACTGACATAATAAGATGAATTAGGAGGATTTCCAAGAATATTTCTAGGAGACTTTACTTGTTAAGCAACTTGATTCTAGTGTATTTTAAGAAATCAGGGTCTTTCGCTTTCTTGCTCAAGATTTACAGTGAGGACTCAGCTCTGAACAATTTTTTTCTTCTCTTCTTGTGGGAAGTTCCTAGTTTTTCAGAAATGCTAAAAGTCTTTCTGGAAAACAAAACATTGAATATATAATGATAACCCCCACCAAGTTCTCTTTTCCAGATACTCTTCTAAACTAATCCGAAACCATACCAAGTTTTCTGTATAACTTGATTTGTGTAAGAAGGCACAAAAAAGTGACTAAATCTGAATTTCATGTGTAATACAAGAGTCAGTCAAAAGGTATTAGGGTCACAGCTTATATATGTATGGGTTTATTCTTTAAAACAAAAAACAAAAAAACTTGTTTAAGTATGTCTTTGTGATCAATGGACAGCTACGAACAAGTCCTCTCAGCGATAGTCTTGTCTTAGGATTGTTTTGTTGTAGTAAAATGTTGTTCATTTGGTTCTGACTCATGGTGATCCTGTATAGGATTTCTGAGTGCTGGTGGGTTTGAGGATTTTGTAGGTTTTAGTCATCAACCGTGCAGTTTGTAGTCCAGTGCTTACCCTATAGCACTGCACCAGACTCCATTGCTGTTGTTGTTGTTAGGTGCTTTTGACTCAGTACCAACTCATGGCAACCTTACAAACAGCAGAACAAAACACTGCCCCGTCCTGCACCAACCTCACAATTGTTGCTATGCTTGAGCCCATTGCTGGTCTCACTAGACCAATCTATTTCATTGCGGGTCTTTCTCTTTTTCGCTCACCCTCTATTTTGCTAAGCTTGATGTCCTTCTTCAGAGACTGGTCTCTCCTCATAATGTGCCCAAAGTATGAGAGAGAAGTCTGGCCATCCTGGCTTCTAAGGAGCTTTCTGGCTGTACTTCTTCCAACACAGATTTGTTTGTTCTTCTGGCAGTCCATGGTACTTTTAATCCTCTCCTCCAACATCAAAATGCAAATGCATTAATTCTTCTTAGGTCTTCCTTATTTATTGTCTAACTTTCATAAACATATTTATTGCATATTGTCCAACTTTCACATGCATATGAGACTCCATTGTTGTTGTTAAGTGTTGTGTTGAGTCAGTTCTGATTCATAGTGACTATGTATAGGGTTTCCTAGGAGCAGCTGGTAGGTTTTAACCACCAGCCTTGTGGCTAGCAGTCCATTGCTTATTCTACAATAACACACCAGGAGTCCATCGTTGTTGTTAAGTGCCTTCGAATAATTCTGACTCATAGTGACCCTGTATAGGGTTTCCAAGAAGCAGCTGGTGATCTGAGCTGCTGACTTCGTGGTTCAAACCGACCTTATGATCCAATGCTTTATCCCACAGCTCCAAAACCAGGACTCTATTGTTGTTGTTGTTAAGTGCCTAGAGTCGGTTCCGACTCATAGCAACCCTGCAGAGGGTTTCCAAGGAGCAGCTGGTGAGCTTAAACTGCCCACCTAGTGGTTCAAACAGACTTTGCAGTCCTGCAGGTCAACCCACAGCACTGCAGGACTCCACTAGGAGCACTCAAAAAACAGTTCCAATCAAAACAGTGACTTTTGAGGCGGATCTGCTGGGTCAATTAAATCCAAGACAGAAAGGTCTGTTCATAAAGTTACAGGGAGTGTGTTTTGGGATGCTAAAAGGGCAATCTTGATAGCTTTTCTTAAAGAACACCGGATAATCATGGGGATTATTATGAAGAAGTTGTAAGAAAATGGAAAATTGCATTGGTGATAAAAAGGCCAGGAAAGTTGCACCAGGGCATTTTCTTTTTCCATCAAGACAATACATCTGGTCATTCTTTGAGGGCAGCAGGACTGTACTATGAGAATTTCTTTGGGAAAACTTATTCCATCCAGCCTACACCCTTAATCGTGTACCTTCAAGTTTCCTTTTGTTTCCCAAACACAAAGAACACTTAAAAGGAACAGAATTTGAGTCCCATGACAAAAATTTTTTGTTTTGTCATGGTATACAATCA